ACAGAAACAAGGTTAACATCAAAACTGGGAACATACAGGACATTATGTAAGGTTAGTGTGGAAGAAAGAATAACCGTCCCTATGCAATGTGCCATGGCACTTGCCTTATTTGGTAAGGAAACAGAAATGGGACTGATCTTATAATAAGAAACAAAGAAAGTTAGAGAACAAACAATGTGATCACTGGCCCCAGAGTCCATGATCCATTGCATAGAAAACTTACCTATGCCATTAGAAATGACATTGTGACTGCTCACAAGATGAGAAGAAAGTGACTGCTCTGATACCATGTTAATTGCATAGGAGTAAATAAACTCTCATTGTTATTGATAATAAAAGTATGGATTTGTTTATATACAAGTTTAGTTGTGTAACTAACTTAAACAGAATGTTTAACAGTTCTAACAAACTCTTAACAAACTAACTAACGAACTACAAGTCAATACCAACGATGGGCCAAGATCTCCAGTGTTGGGTCACGATAAGGCCCAATAATAAAGACTGTCAGGGTTTACGGGTGTGTGGAGTCTAGCACATGGCCTCCTCCCTGGTCAACTGCCCCGAGAAAATAGGGAAGTTAGACCCATTATTCTCGGAGGGAAGGATGATGACGTTATGGACACGTGCAAGTCACGTTCCTCTAGTGGACACGTGGGGAAATGCCCAACGGTCCTTAGTTTGAGTTGCATGCTTTTTGGTCTTTGTAGAGGCGCTAGATTGAGTCTCCCTAACGGTGGGGCAGGTGTCGGCCCAGTCCAGAACAGGAGCCCCCTAAGTTATTTCCCTTAGGCGAAAGGGCAATGACTTGAGATCAATTCAAGTGTCAGGGAAGTGTTTCCCAAGAGGGGAAACTGTCAACTCCTGTCGGAGACGACTCTGTGATTTTGGTCGAGGAAGACTCTGAGACTGCGTGTGGCGTGGTCGACTTGTTCTAAGATAATTTACTTGGTCGACTCCGTCTTCTTCTCGTATCAGTGCGATGTTTGTTTGGGATTTATATTCCGGGGAGGCGAGGAGTTTCATCGTGCTCGCATCCTCGATGTGCCCGTAAGTAAGGCGTCATAATAATGTCGAGTATGTGTTTGACAACGAGGATGAAACGACATAAGAGTGTGGCTTTACGCGTGAGACTCTTGTCAGTGGCACGTCCTTTCGCGAGTCCCACGTGGCAGCTGTTTGGAATGCCATCATTGCCTAGGGCAGTCTAAGAGTCTAAGTAGTGATGACCTTTTGCACATTACTCCATGTGGTGGGGACTAGCTATAAAAAGGGGAATCACGAGATTCACTTGACATTTTCAAGTTCTCTCTCCTCCTATTTCTCTTTCGTTTTCCTGTTGCTTTGCTGCTCCAACACCGTCGTAGACGTCTTCACCGTTCATCTTCTCCAAGTAAGCAATTTCATCTTTAAACGTGATTTTTCTTAGATTTTTAGATCGAACGCTTGAATCTTGCTATGAATGGATGAATTTCCAGATGAAGTTCATGAATTTAAGATGAACATTCATGGATTTTGGGATGAAGGTCCGTGAACTTCATCCGGGTTCATGAAATACGGATGAAGATTCATGGATTCTTAGTGAGCTTCATTCGGACTTGCGTCGGAGTCGCCCCTCCTTCGAGCGGGGCGGATTTGGGCAAATAGCTCTGTCGAGGAAATGTCCCTGCATGAGGGTATCAACATCATATGTGTTCGTTGTTGAGGGCTTGGGTCGAGACCATTCCTCGACGCGCTCATCGCCCTTTCACTTGATTTGCAGTGGAAGAGTGAATTTAATGATGTCGAATTCACTGTTTTCCCCGGCTTTTCAGGTACAATGGTTCAACCAGTCGAGGATAATATTATGCGCGACACTGATGAGGGCGAAACTGCAGTCGCGGACGACAGCTTGGCTTGGGTTGTGCCCGAACCCCGAAATAAGAGGTCTTGTTTTGTGAAGGATGCTTCTGACACGTTCAATGTCCCCGAGGACAAGGCAGATGATGCCCCTGCCTTCTGGGTTCTCCAAATCCATCACAAGAACAGACGAAATTGCTCGTCTTTTCCGGACAAGTGCTTTTCCAGGTATGAATTTGCTTTTAAGGAAGCGAGAATGCGTTTGCCCTTCACAGATTTCTAGGTGGAGGGTTTTTCAATGGCTACAACTGACGCTCTCTCAGCTTTATTCGAACGCGTTCGTGTTCATGCGGGTATTTGAGCTTGTCTGCCAGCACCTTAAGATTGGTGCCACTCTGACTCTTTTCTTCCAGATCTTCCATCTCCAACGTCAGACCATTGATGGACTACATGCCTGAGTGTCGTTCAAGCAGTTCGAGAAACTCTTCTGACCGTACCTGGAATCTGTACGAAACTTTAAAGATATGTACTTCGTCGTGAAGCCTCTTAGTGATGCGGCCGTGTGTTTCCAGTGATTTCTGGTAAACAACCGCTAGTCTTCCAAACTATCGAATAAACTTACTGACTGTTATTCAATTTCTCTGGTAACTCGCAGGATCGACTAGATTGATCCTAGGACTTGTTGGTCATTAGGATAACTCTCATGATCGAACAGGTATTCATGGTTGGTATTTAGAGTGTTGTATAGGTGTTTGACTTATTTCGATTTCTCTCTTAAAGATCTAAAGGTGTAATCAAAATATATGTGCGTGAAACTAAATTGCGTGAATAAATGTTAATTGTAAAGACATGTAAAACTGCATAAAAGACAAGTAAATGGCTTCGAATTATAAAAACAGTTAATGTAAAAGACTCGAAATATGAAGAAAGCGTTTAATGCAAGAAAACTGTAAAATTGCTTTAAGTAAAAGAAATGTTCGAAGGGTAAAAGCTTGAAGATAAAGACATGAAATGTATAACAGTTTCTGAAATATAAAGTCTTTGAAATGTAAAGAAAGCATTTAAATGTAAGGCATCAATGAAAAGATTTCGAATAAAAAGACTTTAGATGCAAAAAACTTGTAAATGGTATTGATACAAAGACAAAGGAAAGTACTGGAAATGATAAAGGGTTTTCATTAAATCATAAACGTGTGGTGCTATCATACGTACATTGCTCTTGCATTCGTTTCCCTAGCCATGTGGTAATTTGAATGTTTACTGAGTTTTTTGTACAAATAGATATGACACACGAAATCCTAATGCTAAGACGTCTATTTATACTACTTCGACCATAACGGTCTTGCTATAAGATTCTGCCACGTTCAGAACATGCAGAGCAATGCCTCTCTCTTACTTCCACGTGTCTTTGAATGCTCCAGCGCATATATTTCAAATTTCGAACATCCCGCTTGCATTTGAATTTCAAATGTTTTGGCACTTCCTCGCTTCGAACGCATTTCTTAGATACAACCTTGTTGTCATTTCGAGACTTCTTTAGATATGTTCCCATAATTGTCACTCGAAGCTCCAAGCTTTGATATGCTCATTCGAAACACTGCTTCTGCTATTTCGAAACATGACGCTTTGTTTCATTTCAATCGAAACGTCCAATTCACTTGGCTTCTAATAATATTATCAAAATCTTCAGCCAACACCGTGGAATCTTTGTACAACCGCTCGGAGAAGGTCGAGGATGGTCAGACAGTGACTAGACTGACGACGAAGTTTCCTCTAGAGTGGCAATAAAAACATTTTGAGCAGAAGTCTGAATGTTACGCGGTAAAGCCTGAGGAGTTGGATGCCCATGATAGGCTTGTTTACGACAAGCTAGAGGTATATGTCAAGAGCTTCTCTCCGGTGAAGTGCGTGGACATAGACAATAACTTCATTTTTGATGATAGTGGGGAACATCTCTTTGTTTCCTGACTGATAAATACGAAATCGCTCCTTGAGTGTTCTTCTGACGAGAAAGCTGAGACTTCTAGGTAAGGGACGTGCCCGTAATTTTATGTTTTTCTTTTTGTCTTGTGGACTAATAGTTTCCTTTTTTATTGCAGACCGGATGGCGACTCTCTCTGAACGTGTGCTCAAGTTAAGGCCCAAGAATCCAAAATACTTGGTGCCCAAAAGTCAGATTGCTCAACTTCAAGAACAAACTAAAGTTGATGCCCGCCCTAATGGTTCATCCTCTCCTCAAAAGGCCTAGGTCTTCCCTCCTGAACAACCGACGAAAAGGAAGCAAGTGAAAGACTCCGAGCACGTGGTGGCTGTCAACGGGGACAAGGGTGTCGGGAAGACTTTTATGTTGTCCCCTGTTATCTCAATCGAGATATCTTTAGCAGGGAGAATTCCTTATGTCTCCATGAAGAGGAGACGGAAGCCATTTTGAGTAAAGATTAAACCATTTATATTTAAAAATATTATAAATTTGATTTGGTTAAGTCCTTTTCTTCTAAGAAAATTTCAATAAATAAAAAATAAAATCGAAAAGGGGGGAGAGAAATTATTCGATATCGTTAAAATACATTAAAATTGGAGACAGAAGCTACAATTTATAGGTAGCTAAATCTGGCAGAACAAAATAAAGAACCCAATGTAAAGGAAATGTGGGAGAAACAGGGACACTCAATTAATACAATGAAGCTAGAAGCCATAAAAATGAGACCAATAACTTATGCAGTCTTTCTCCAACTCATCCACTATCCATAAAAATGAGACCAATAACTTATGCAATCTTTCTCCAACTCATCCAGTATCCTGCAAACAAAACAAAAGAAGTTCTATGGAGGAAAATGAATCAGAGATATGAAGATGAAACTTATGTTGGTTAACATTTCCAACTTACACTACGAACATGTTTGAATTGACTTATTTGACCTTATCAATTCACATAAATATGTGTGAAATTATTTGTTTCTAATTTATTTCAATACAAAGTCTGGAATAGTTTATCAAAGCTTATGTGAAAACAGTTTGACAAATAAAGAACAAGTCTCCAAATATTTTCTTCTAGTAATGGATGACAACATTCTATGAATTTATACTTTAAAACTACCTTTTGTGAGAAAATTAATGACGTGTCATCAACTAAAACAAGCACAGGATTCACAGATTGAATGCAATCAAAAGCTTTTGTTTTCAGTCACCTACAAACAGTTGTAATGTAACAATCAGTGGAGTTAAACTGAAATAGCTATTCTAACAACTGTCATCATGTTCAGACAAGATATAATTGAAAATAGAACCATCAGAGAGAAATTGGGGGTCATTCCAATTTAAGAAAGATGGTAGAGTTTGCAAGGAAAAGACCCTAGAAAGTATTGGTGAAGAGTGTCGGCAAGAAAGACAATAATCCAATAGTTAGAGGTTAACAGAGATTAAATTTTAAATTTGACTGGATCATCATTAATACATACAAGATGTTACGGTTTTGGTAGGGGTGGTAAAATGGGTCCAGCCCGTCGGACTTTCCCATTTTGCCTGCATATTTTCGTGAGTCGGGCAAAGGTTTTAGACCCACACCCTCTTATATGTCCGCCCCATTGGCCCCGTTTTTTGCGGACTTTTGCAATCTCGGGAATTGGCATAATATTTTGCAATTTTTAGGTTTTAAAGATGCACTGTCGACCCTGCCCCACCCTCATTTTTTAGTGGGACGGACCAAGGTTTTAGGCCCGCATCCTCAACAATGTCTGCCCTGCCCTGCCCCACCCCATTTTTAGCGTATTTTATTGAATTCAGTGCAGAACGTGTGATGAAAAAAATTCCTAAAACCTGATTTATTCAGAAGATCTGCGTATAAATGAAGAGGTTTTATGAAATTTGGTGGTAGTATTGTAGAAAATCAATTTACAGGTTTAGAGTGCTGTACCTCCAAAATAGTTTTAGCTTCGTCACTAAATGTTCTGCAAAGAATTTCATAACTCGTCTCTATCTGCATTTGAAAACAAAAAATAATAATTTGTGTAAGAAATTTCATATCTCTTATTTAAGATTCCAGGGGGGGGTGAGGTACATACCTTTGGATTAACTTTAGAAGGTGATGTGGCTGATATGATATATCTGTAACAAGGATATCTCATCATTCAACAAAACAAAGACCAAACATAAAAAGGGAGGGAAAAGTATTATAATAGAAAATATAGAAAGCACTAACATGTGCTAAAACCAAATTACGACAACTATAGGAAAGTTTCAGAAAATAGAAACAGTTTCAAGACCTGCAAAGATCCTTAACTTTTTACTAAGAAATACAACAATAACTCTAAGGATCGCATTGTTCTTACTTTATGTTTAATCGCCACATATAACAACTAAGATTATCATTAAAATTGGAATTAGAATGTGGCACGTGTCGAGGATTTGCACAAATAAACATGTGAATGCTAGAGTAAACATACCCTTATATAGAAGTCTATTACACATAGCATATAGATATACATTAATTTCATAACACAAAACTAAAGACTCATTCTCTTCTTGTTGCAGAAATGCGATTCCGGAATACCCGCTTAAAAGCAAACAGAAATATTTCTAGAATGCCCTCTAAGATTGACACGCCAATTAATTAACAAGGCTGATAGGAGCGGTTAGGGATGGAACATACTACTTTTTTGTCAATTTATTCTTATCAAACATGACATGTACTTCTTGTAAGCGATAAAAAAAATTCAATGATGGCATACATCTCTAAAAATGTTACCTTAGCTTACTTGTATAAAACTTCATAGCTGACAAGTTTGCCTTTTGAACAGTAAGCATGACAGCACTCATACAGTTCTACAAGAGAAGTTATAAAAGCATCAGATACCAAACTAGATGCATCATTAAACTCTTAGGATTGTCGACAAAAAGTCCAGACAAGTGGCTCAATGATTTTCATAAATTGAACGAAATCAATAAATAAAATCAGTTTCTTCAAATATCATAAATTTCAACAGTTCATCATCTTTTCCTAACAGCATGATTCTTTATCATCAATGACAGCGTAAGTTTAGAAAAACAATTTAGCACCTTTTGGGCGATAAGCTCAATTAGTTCCATTAGAAACTTCCCCAATCCTTTCCCCTGGACCCGAGGCTCAACCTGTAGTTCATACACATAAAGCACCGGTACCTCTTCTTCCAAAACAAAGCGGTAATGTACAAACCCAACCAAGAGGCTACTATCTTCTAGACGACTGGTTGAAGTATCTTCCGCAGTTAACATCGTTGTCATCTCACCAGCCTTTGAATTATCAACCTCATGCACAAATATATAGCATGCTTCAGGATCAACCATTTCTACACGCTTCACTTTCTCTTCCGCTTGCCACTCAGATCCATATGGCCCTTCCATGTTAAGCTGTAGATTTGGACGAGTTAATTTTTTTTGTTAGCCTACCCAAATCAATGAATAAGACAAAGGCCAACCACAGCATTAAAAAAAGAACTGCCTTTCAGAATTTATTATAGTATAAACAAATAAAAAAAGGTGGACTAGTACACGATCCACCGGATGATGTTTGGGAAGGGTAGATGTACACAGCCTTACCCCCTGCAAGTAGATAGACTACTTTCAAGATTTGAACCTGTGGTTTCTAGGTTATAAGGGAGCAATCTTTTTGTGTTGCACCAAGGCTCACCCTCAAGATAGTATAAGCAAATTAAAAGACAAAATCCACAGCTTAGATAAACTAATTATTCTCTCTTTTTTAATGAAGGTGCATTTTGTAACAAAAAACAAACCAAATAGCACAATCGTGAACAAAAACAATTGATATATATTCCTCGCAAGCATACAGTATAGTATTGTTACAATAACAAACTCGGCTTTAGGTTTACATAGTACAAAGTTGTGTTCAAATAATGCAACGCTTAGGGTTACGGAGTACAAAGCTATTTCAACATACAATAGGGGGCTTGCTTCCTCATACCCCCAACCCTACTAGTTGGAAGCCAACATACAAATGGGCCAAGCCTAAATGACAGACACTCTCGCTCGGCTATGTTTGTTGCACTTTCAACTCTACTCGTTACACTTGAGCATCTATCGACTTATCAGTTAATATGAGACTATGAACCATACATACTCAACAAATATAATCTATAAATAACGGTTAAAACTTCTATATATTTCAGTTAAGTAACTCTACTATTATATCTACCTTAAGGAGATTCTGAATATAACGCTTAACAGGAGACGGAAGTTTATCGCCATGTCCTGACTTCAAACACACTGACAGACCTAAAAAATCAAGTAAAGAAAAATTAGGCACTTAGAAGCAACAAACAAAAACCCAAACATAAACATCAATATTATCACATTACCATGTTGAAATATCAATGACTATCATAGCTTATAAGTTATAGGCTACTATCACTCTTGTTATTAGTAATGCATTTTAGTACAAAACGGGACTAACTTAAATTTTAGGGGGAAAATATGATAATAAGCTAATTGAAAGAAAAAAAATTGGGGATAATGCTAGGTTACATTGTCTTTTTTTTCCTCTCCGTATTAACTTGATGGAAAAAATTATTAATTAAAAATATATTTTTATGTTGATATATTTATTAACTGGTTCAAATGCTAATATCATGGTTTTAAATTAAGGTTCGCAATCGCAATTGTGGCCGCAATGTTGCTGATGCGGTAGTCACCGCAACTGCATCAGACCGTAATTGCAGTGTGATTTAAAATCATGCGTCTTTCAACATTAGAAACCACATCAGACAACTTTGTCCAAGTTTATTCATGTATTTTCGTCATAACTCAAAATTTAAAACCTAAAACTCAATTTACTTCCGAAAGATATTAACATTAAGTGTTTTATGTATTTCAAACTTTTCTCAATCAAAATTCATGATGCAACGACTGCAATGCGCAACACAGCAATCACAATGACCGCAATCACAACATCCACCACCGCATCCGTGACCACTATTTAAAACTATGGCTAACATTACCAAACACTTCAAATTTAATCAACTAGGTTATCAATTATCTAACTGCATAATCTTCCTCTAACTGCATTTCACAAAGTCAAAAACAGTTACCATTAATTTGGAAGTGACGATAAGCGGGAAAAGAAGCGAGTTGGTCCTTTTTGGCATACGCTTCTTTGATGAGTAGTTTATCGGCTTTCTTCTTTGCGAGTACCTGCAAAACGAAACGGGTTTATTCGAAATCGAAAAAACTCGCAAATTCGAAAAGCTATGGGATTTTCTGAACTTCACCTCGCCGCGTTTCAACCTTTTCTCTGTTACGACGGCGTTGTGAGGAGTTGCATTGGTTCGACGGCGTCGTTGGACGGTCTCGGTGTCCATGATGGTGACTGGAACAGTTGAGGCGGGTTTTACGAGATCACTAAATTTTAGGTGTAATAATAACGAGATAAAATAAATTAAAGGGAACGGAGTATGGGCGCACAAGTGAATTTAATAAAAATGAATTTGTTATTAATAATGTAAATAAATTATTTAATTTTAACTTTAATTTCAGATAAATATTTAAATTATTAAAATAAGGAATTAGGAATATTAGGTCAATTGAGAATTATATTTCTTTCCTCCTTTAATTTTGACACAACTGTTCTTATTTATGCAACTAAATTGTTGCTATCATCATTTTATAACGTTCCTTACCACCTCTATAGCAATCTTAAAAAAAAAAAAATACTATGCTATAATTTATTTGTGAAAAAGAACAAAACTCAGAATTAAAAATTAGACAAAAACTCAAATTTTTATTCTCACTAAATTATAATATAATTTTTTGTTTTTAGTATAAGTTATTTAAGGTACATAAATACTTTATTATTTTCTATTAAAAATATATATTCTCTATCTCTTTCTCTTATTTATAATATGAAAATACTCTTTCTTTTCTAATATAAGTTATTTAAAAGATGAAGATATCTTTTAATTTTTTTACTGAGACAAGTTATTTAAAATATAGAAATATTATTTTATTATTTATTAAAAATATTTTTTTCATATATTCCTCTATTAATATTTACAATATGAAAAATATTTTTTTCCCCTAATATAAGTTATTTAAAAGAGAAAAATATTATTTTTCTAAGTGACACAAATTATTTAAAATATATAAATATCCTTTTATTTTCTATTAAAAATATATATTCTCTCTCATTCTCTTTTATTAATATTTACAATGTGAAAAATACTTTTTTGTCCTAAGTACAATATTATTAAAAGACGAAAATACTTTTTTATTATATATATATATATATATATATATATATATATATATATATATATATATATATATATATATATATATATATATATATATATATATATATATATATATATATATTATTTGTCCATTGATTATTTCAACAAAGAATCATTAAAAATAATAATTGCGTGGAGCACACACGAGTCTCATCACTCTATAAATATAACGTTCAATCCTCAATTATAATCACTCAATCAATTTTTTTATTAAGTATTTGCATGCAATTTGCCTTACTTTATAGTTAGAGTGTCTTTATAGATACACCAATCACGTGGAGATAATAAAAAGAAGAAAATATCAAAGCACTACATAAATAAATCATAATCGATGACATGTCGATTGCATCATGTGCTCGAGTGATTCACTTCGTAAATTCACGCAAGAACATTGCCATCTCTTCACAAGAACATTGACATCTCTTGAGTTTCAAAATCAAAATGTGTCCTTCCATAAATAAGATATATTTTTCCTACACTCACATTCTCACAAAAAAAAACTACAAAAAAATAGACAATCATCAATAAGAACACCGGTTCTCTTAGTAAAAAAAACTTGATTGACTAAGGCAGTTCAAAAGACATCATATCTAATGAAGCCTACAAAGAATAAGAATAACTAAGACAATCCTTAAAAACACTACAAGAATAATTTTGGGGCTTCTCAATAAACAACATGGAAGTCGTGAGATTCATATAAATCCTTATGACATTTACATTAGACGTTAGATCAATTTTGTTCAAATCAAATTTTTAGTGGTTGTTGTTGGAAATCCACCAAAGTCTATGATGAATTTCTACCACAATGACAATTTAATTATGAGACAAACAAAGAAAAGAAGACAAGACAAATAATTTCTGCAGAGTTTCTCTCTGCTCACAAACTGTGAAAACTTTCTTATTCACTTTGCAACTGCAAAATACTGTGAATGACTTGCTTGACTTGCTTACAAAAATAGGGGTTACTCCCTCTATTTATAATTGAGCTAACACCCTAAGCCCAAAGCCCAAAATATCTTTTTGTTACTAAATCAAATCTAATTTATTCTATACTTAAATCAAATCTATTTAAATCTAAAACAAATCAAATCTTTTCGACACATAGTTTCGACACATTGGATTACAATTTAACACACCACCTAATTCATTGTGTCTAAACTATCTATGTTCATCATGGCTCTTAGCTTTCTAAATACTTCGACTTGCACTCCCTTCGTCATGAAGTCTGCAATCTGATTCTCAGTTCTGCAGTGTTCCAAATTCATCTTCCCATATGCTACCTACTCTCGAAGATAATGGAACCTCATTTCGATGTGCTTACTTCGACCATGTGCTATTGGGTTCTTCGCCAGATTAATAGCTGACATGCTGTCTATCTTCATGGTAATTGCTCCATGATTTTTCCCTGTTATCTCTTCGACCAAGTTCACCATCCAAGTTGCTTGACATGCACAAAGAGAATCAGCTATGTATTCTGCTTCACATGGTGATAATGCCACTATTGGTTCCTTTCTTGAATTCCAAGCAAATGGTGCACCACCTAGCATAAACACATATCATGTTGTTGACTTTCGATCTTCAGCATCACTACACCAACTTGAATCAGTGTATCCCACTAACTTGCATTTTTTTCCTTTATCAACTGCAGGAAACAAAATGCTATAATCGAAAGTTCCTTTGAGATACCTTAGTATCCTCTTCACTGCTGCTAGATGTGATACCTTTGGCTTCTATATGAATCTAATTACCATACCTACAATATATGCTAAGTCAGACCTTGTATGACAAAGATATCTCAAAGATCCAATAAGTCTTCTGTATTGGGTTGGATCAACATCATCTTCATCTGCATCTTTCGACAGTTGCAGTCTTAGTTCTGCAGGTGTCAAAGTTGAGTTGCATTCTTCCATCTCAAACCTCTTGAGAATTTCTCCTGCATATCTTCTTTGATGCATCATCAAATCTCTACTGCTCTTGTAGAATTCGATACCAAGGAAATATGAAATCTCACCCAAATCAGACATTTTGAATTATTTGCTGAGATCACCTTTAAAGTCTTCGATCTCACTTTTACAGCTACGTGTTATCAACAAATCATCTACATAGAGACATAGTATAAGCAATTTACTCTTGCTTCTTCGTACATATACTCCATGTTCAGTTGTGCACTTCAGAAATTCCTTCTCCCTTAGAAAACTATCAATTTTCTTATTCCAAGTCCTTGGAGCCTGTTTCAATCCATACAAAGCTTTATGTAGCCTGTACACCTTTCTTTCTTCGTCATGTTTCACAAACCCAACTGGTTGTTTAACATATACTTCTTCATATAAGGGTCCATTTAGGAATGCACACTTCACATCCATCTGACATATGTGCCAACTGTTTATTTCTGCTAGACCAACAACCAACCTGATTGTTTCGATCCTAGCACAGGTGTAAAAACTTCATCGAAGTCTATTCCTTCTTTCTGTAGAAATCCTTTCGCCACAAGTCTTGCTTTGTGTCGAGTTACTTCACCTTTCGAACTCGCTTTCACTCTGTATACCCACTTGACATCAATTTCCTTCTTGCCTTGAGGAAATTAGACAAGTGACCAAGTGTTGTTGTCTTCGATAGACTTTACTTCTTCGTTCATTACTTTCACCCACTTCGAATCCTTTAATGCTTCAGCTGCATTAACAGGTTCGACATCTGCATAGAAAGTATAATGTACCAGATCACCTTCATTATCTATTACATCATCTGATGTAATCACACAATCTTGCAATCTTGCAGGCATGCGTCTTGTTCTTTGAGGCCTGCTTGTACTTGGTATATTTGCTTGTTTCTCTTGTCGAACTTCTCTTTTGACTTGAGTTTCTGGCTCTTCAAGAAGGATTCCCACTGAATCTTTCTTGACATTATCAGTCCAATCCCATTCTTTAAACTCCTCTATGATCACGTCCCTGCTAATCACAATCTGCTTTTTCACTGGATCGAACAACTTGTAGCCTCCTGTCGAATGATATCCAACTAGAATCATTTGACTTAACTTATCATCAAGTTTTCTTCTCAACTGATCTGGGACATGTCTATGTGCAATATATCCAAATACCTTCATATGACTCAAGCTAGGCTTCACACCAGACCAACATTCTTCTGGAGTAATTCCTTCTAGCTTCTTTGTAGGACATCTGTTCAAAATGTATGTTGCAGTCGAAACAGCTTCACCCCAAAACTCTTTAGGTAAATTATTGCCTTTCAACATACTCCTCACCATATTCATGATGGTTCGATTTTTCCTTTATGCAATTCCATTTTGTTGTGGAGTATAGGGTGGCACCACCTCATGCACAATCCCTTCCTTTTCACATAATCTGTCGAAGTCTTTCGACACATATTCTCCACCACCATCAGTTCTCAAAACTTTGAGCTTTCGGCCACTTTGTCTTTCGACCATAGACTTAAACTTGGTAAATACTTCGATCACTTCAATTTTCTTCTTGATCAGGTAAGTCTATAGCTTTCGACTGAAATCATCTATGAATGTAACAAAGTATTTGTTACCTCCCATCGAATCCACTTGGATTGGTCCACATACATCAGAGTATATGACTTCAAGACTAGCCTTCGATATGCTTCCTGCATCCTTGCTGAAGCTATTCTTGTGTTGCTTCGCCTGCACACATTCCTCACATACCTCGTTTGGAATGTCAATTTCTGGCAATCCTGAAACCATATTTCTTCTCTTCAAATCTCTGATGTCTCTGAAGTTGAGATGGCCTAGTCTATAATGCCATATTCATTCATCTCTGCTAGCTACAGTCGAAAGGCACCTGTACTCCATCACATTTAGTTCAATCTTGAAGGTTCGATTCTAAGACATAGGAGCCTTCAATATTAATCTCCCATTTGCATCAACGACTCTCATCATCTTATCTTCGATTGGCACTTTATAATTCTTTTCGACCAACTGTCCTATACTGAGCAAATTGCTCTTCATGCCTGGTATGTACAACACATTGGAGATTACTGACCTTTTGCCATCTTTCCTCATAATCATAACATCACCAATACCTTCAGCTGCTAGG